GATGTACAACTATCAACAAGATCAGGCTTATCCCAGTGCAGTCCCAGGTCAAGCTCCAATGATGTACAACTATCAACAAGACCAGGCTTTTCCCAGTTTAGTCCTAGGTCAAGCTCCAATGAGGCCAGTAGTGTTCAACTATCAACATGACCTGGTTGTTCCCAGCTTAGTTCCAGGTCAAGCTCCAATGATCAGGCCAACGACGAACAACCAGAACCAGGACCAGGACCAGGTTGTTCCCAATGTAGTCCCAGGTCAAGCTCCAATGAGTCCAGTGATGTACAATCATCATCGACACCAGATCGTTCCCAATGCAGTTCGAGCTCCAGTGATGTACAACCAACAACAAGATCAGGCTTATCCCAGTGCAGTCCCAGGTCAAGCTCCAATGATGTACAACTATCAACAAGACCAGGCTTTTCCCAGTTTAGTCCTAGGTCAAGCTCCAATGAGGCCAGTAGTGTTCAACTATCAACATGACCTGGTTGTTCCCAGCTTAGTTCCAGGTCAAGCTCCAATGATCAGGCCAACGACGAACAACCAGAACCAGGACCAGGACCAGGTTGTTCCCAATGTAGTCCCAGGTCAAGCTCCAATGATGAGGCCAGTGACGAACAACCAGAATCATCCAATGGCTAACCAGATGCCCAATGTAGTCCCAGGTCAAGCTCCGAACAACCAGCGTTATCTAATGGCTAACCAGATGCCCAATCCGGTCCCGACTCCGATGTTGCTACCGCCGAATCACACGTATATTCCAAGGCCTGTGTTTGTTGTAGCTCAGAACTTAGTCAACCTACAATACCATTTCAACGTAACTCCATTTAGGTACCATCAATATCCTTACATGAGACCTGAAGCTAATCACCAGAACCTGCTAATGCCACAGTTCAGGAGTGATCAGATGTTTATTACAATATCACCAAGTGGAGAGCTAGGATCATTTGCTGTACTTGAAGACCCTTGGAACCCACAACAACACTTGGTCTTGTCTTTAGATGATGCAGTTGTGTTACAACCAATGCCGGAACAACCTCAGCCTCAAACGCAACAACCAACGCAGTCTCAAGCTGGACCGTCCTCTGTTCAAGGTCAAGATCAGTAGCAGAAACTTAGGTAAAAACTTCACTCTTAACACCAAACTTCACTCAGATTGATTTTAATAACTGTAAATGAGATGTTGTTCGTTGATGACATTTTAGTCAAAAGATCTATATCAATAGTTTTGGAACAACAAAGAGTTGTCTTCCGAATATTTTTTAGTTTTAGTAAAAAAATGTTGAACATAGATTTTCTTGATTAGCAAACTCCTAATCTAGTGAACTTTAATACTCGTTTGGTTGGATTTAGTAGTAACAGCTAGATTTGATTGAGGGTAATATTGTAAATGAGCCACTTTATCGTTTCAAAGAAATTGAAAAAGAAAATTAAAACGAGGGTTTTATGGAGAATCCGAGTGGTTTTGATCTCAGCCACTTTATTCTCAGATTTTTGATCCGATTCTTCTTCCTTCCTTCTCGCTC